TGATGAATGTGATTTCATCGAAACGTCGCTATGATACTTCTAATCTTACACGGGAGAAAACCCGAATGACCAAAGACTCACATATAAACACCCGTGAAAACCTCAAAAAACAAATATATATATATATATATATATATATATATATATATATATATATATATATATATATATATATATATATATATATATATATATATATCAAAGAAAAAAGGTGCTAAATCACATCTGTGTTTTCACCCAGTCTTTCTGCTAGTCTCAGTGGAAAGAAAATGTTGCAGCAACTACTGTGCTTCCGTTGCTTTTTTTCCCTTTCAGTTCTTTTTCTTCCCTGCTGAGTTCAGCCCATGTTCTCATTTTATAGAATGCCCTAAATTCTGTTCAGAGCTGTTGCAAAGCTTCAGCTCAGCGGTTAAACCCAGATCTAATCTCTGTGAACTGATCGGCTAGGACAGATCCACTTACTCAGAGGATGAGGTGTCATTCTTTTTTTAATTCGTCCTTTTGAGGCTTTCACAGGAATTTCTTATTAATTCCTCTTTCTTAACCATGCTCTTTTGTTAAAGGATATGTGCCAATAGCTTTAAGCAGTTTAATATAAGAATAACATGACGAGAAACAGAATAATAGCAGATTAATAAGTTGGAAGGGACCTGGGAGGTCTTCTAGTCCAACCCTCTGCTCAGGCAGGAGACCCTATTACCATTTCAGACAAATGGTTGTCCAATCTCTTTTACTAAAAATCTTCAGTGTTGGAGCACCTAAAGCTTCTGGAGGCAAGCAGTTCATATATAGACATATATAGAGATTAATGTCAAAGGCTATAGAGTGATGTCCCCAACAATGGTGGAAGATAACTAGGTGTTTTTTTTTTGGTTTTTTTAGAATGGGTGGAGTGTCTTCATTAAAAAATGGTTCATTAATCCTTCAATAATAAGAAAGACACCATTGAGTCAAGTTTGATTCCTGGTAGCTACAAACATCGCCATGTTGATTTTTTGACAGTATTATGGAAGTAGATTATAATTCCCTTCTTCTGGGATTTCCCCCCCCCCCCAAATTCTTGTCCTAGCCTGTGATGTTCTGCTGGTTTTCAATTATAATATTAACCAGGCTGAACCCTGATAGGTTTTGAAGATCCATCAAGGTCAGCCTGGCAGTATTTGCAATGGTTTAATGCAATGTATTTTAATCCTCTTCTGGCCAAAATGAAAAATGAACCTACAATAAATCAAAGATTTGTCAGTCACTTGAGATAATATGAACTTGAGAGAAGACCTGGAGGTCATAAACATGGTAATGGAGATCATGGAGCCTACAGATCATAAATTGTCCATCTTCAATAAAGTCCTTGGTGCTCTGTGAGTTTGGTGGTTTTCTTGCAGATGTTTCATTACCAAACTAGGCAGAACCATCAGTGCTAGTAGGTAGTGGATAAGGAGATTAAACCCCACTACCTATTAGAACTGATGATGTCACCTAGTTTGGTAATGAAATGTCTGTAAGAAAACCACCAAGCTCAGAGAGCACCAAGGACACCACAATCCTGAGCTACAAATGTTCTCTTTTGTTGGGATCCTTAGTTCACATTGACTGTTAGCAGCTTCTCAGAAAGTAAAAAATGCTTTTTACTGCATGATAATGATTGTGTTATATCTGTTCTAACATTCATATTAAAGGATGTTCTAGCTAGTCACTGTTGGCAAAAATCTGTTGCAGCCCAAGATTAGGTTGGCTATTCAAATTCACGTTTGGTACACCGTTCCTTCCTGACTTTAAAAAGCTTTTTTCTAATGTTCAGTCACAGTTTGCCTTTCCATAACTTCAAAATAATATTCCATGCATCCTACTTTGTGATCACAGTTGTCCAAAACATGCAGGCTTAGAAATATCTAAGGGGAGACCGGAGTCAAGACATTCTTCTTTCAACTAATTGTCCTCCTGGAAATCTTCTAAAGAACATTCTTTCTTTCCAGATATTTGAAATGCTGTAAGTTGTTTTGATCCCTTCTGCCAATGTACAACCCTCCCTTTGCTTATTTATTTGTGTAGGTTCCAATGTTGCAAGTGGAAATTGGGGCCTTTGGGATCAAGATATGGCTCTAGAATGGATAAGGAGGAACATTGCAAGCTTTGGGGGAGATGCGGGACAGATAACGATCGGAGCCTCTGACAGGGGAGCCGACCTCATCAGCATTCACCTCCTTAAGAGAACTTCGAATCCAATCCTCTTCAAGAGGGCACTATTGATGGTAAGTCCCATTTATTTTCAGATGAATAAGGACAGGCACTGAAGCTCAAAAACTTTGGCCACCTAATGAGAAGACAAGACTCATTGGGAAA